AGGTAGGACAGAAAGTGACTTCTATACTTTTAAAATTTGCCCAAAATTTAGGAGGTCTTTAGACCAAGCCAACTATACTAAATTTTGATCCTTGAAATTCTGGTAATATCAATGTTCACTTGGTCTGGTTTTGTTGCAGCACTCCCCATATAATAATATTAAATATTTTATGTTATATATAGTGATTAGTGCACCTTAATATAGTAATGATCCAATTGCTATTCATTTGGGAGCAATTTTCATATTTTATGGCAAAAAAAACAATCAAGTAATCATCAAGGGAACATTTCAAGACATGATAATGATTGGCAAAAGCTTAGCCCAGCAAAGCAATCAGCTATAGAAGTAGTTAAATCACCTAATAATAATAGTAACTCCATAATTGTAGTTGGAGCACCAGGGTATAGTAATAAGAAACAAACAGTTGGTAAAATATATGGATTTGAAATGATTAATACTACCAACAAAATTATTAAATCTTTTGATATATATATTAAAAAATAAATATGAGGAGAAGAATAACAATAATGATTCTTTTTTTATAGTTTAATAATTTCAAGCAATTTCTTAAATAATGGAAAGAATTACATCCTTACCACTTCAAAATCAGATGTACATTAAATGATCATTGAATGATGTTTTATTAATATTTATTTAGGTTGATAGCAAATTAATCAAAATATATGTATAATATACAATAGTCATATAATGGACTGTTTCCTGGTTACAAGATATGGCAAGCAGGTATTAGATTTGGATTATATTAAACAGATAAATCATAAATCTTTAAAGCCGTTGCAACCACCATAAGATCACATTATTAAAATCCGATAAGAAATGACAGTTAAATTAACAAATAAACAAATAAACTGTTATCTTATTTTTTGATTCACCTTGAATACCTTTTGCTGGGTCAACATTACCATTTTATTTTACACCAAAATGCCAACAAAATATTTCCGAATCCTTTTCACCTAAAAGTCTTTTAATTTCCAATTCTTCCCATACAGCAAATGCCCCTTC